CCTTCTGCGTCGCGTAGTGTTTAGGACACATGCACGGTCTTTTTAAATTATTTTAAAAATGCGAAGAAGCTGTTTCTCTTGCTGTTTAATCCGAGTTTTAGTGCAAGACAAACGTCGCTTTCATTCCCGTATGTACGTATGGGCTTTTGGAGACAGGCTGACCTTGGACTGCAGCCCTGCCGCAGCCGGCGTTGCAGGTGCGCCGCCACGCCCAGCGCTGAGCTCGCGCTCGTTCTGGCGCGGTTACGAAAGCTCTGTGTAGCCCAGGGACTCCCGGTGTGCACGCTTGCGTGTGTTAAGGAGGACGAGTAAGCGTCCGCAGAGTGCGAGGCTAAAGCTGCAGGAACAAAACAGATGCTTTTAGAAGCGAGATCCCTGAGCTACTGGATGGGATGCGGAACAAGCGCTTGAGTATTGGTGACTTTTTCCAGATTAGGTGAAAACGAAGGAAAGATTTGCTAAGCAATGTTGAGAAGATAGACTGTATGATTACGAAATACGACGAATACGTGAATTTTAAAAAATGAGTTCCAATGAAAGACACGTTACTACTAACCTCTCAGAATCTTCCCTTCTCTCCTCCCACCCTTCGTGAAGCAGTTCTTCCCTGAGTGCCGGTTTGCACTGTCCTCCCTGACCCGCTGTGCGCAACCCATTCAGAAGCCCTTGTCTTTGGTAGGCATTTCGAGTTTGGAGGAGACCTACGAGGCACAGGGTGCCACGCCCGGCGGCAGCGCGCACACCTCCTGTTGCTGCACGCTGCCTCCGGGGATGGTAAGGATGCTCAGCGGTTGCAGTCACCGCATCGGTTTGGGGTTTTGATCACATTTCATAAAGACACAAAAAACAACTTCCAGAACTTTCACGGAGTGGCGAGAGAGATGGGGTAGGTGTGTTTGAAGCAGGAAGTGTTTTGAGGGCAGATCTGTGGCTCTGTCTTTTACTATAGCAAGACAGTCTGATGGGACCGGAAGGGGGAGAACGGAGTGCGGCAGACTTACTCTTCCTGCCGCAGTGTGGTTAACGAAAACACAACTCTTTATTACATTTACAATAATGTCAAAAATCAAACAGTGGAAGAATTCTTTATGTACCCTACTGTTGGTGTCGCAGCA